TTTCTGGCGCCCGTGGCCCCAGCGAGCAGGGCCCGGCTGGGGTGTCTCCAGCTCTGGCAGGGACAATCCTGCGCCCGTGGGCCCAGCGAGCAGGGCCCGGCTGGGGTGTCTCCAGCTCTGCCAAGGACAATCCTGCACCCCTGGACTCAGCGAGCATGGCCTGGCTGGGGTGTCTCCAGCTCTGGCAAGGACAATCCTGCGCCCCTGGACCCAGCGAGCATGGCCCGGCTGGGGTGTCTCCAGCTCTGCCAAGGACAATCCTGCGCCCGTGGGCCCAGCGAGCAGGGCCCGGCTGGGGTGTCTCCAGCTCTGCCAAGGACAATCCTGCGCCCGTGGGCCCAGCGAGCAGGGCCCGGCTGGGGTGTCTCCAGCTCTGCCAAGGACAATCCTGCGCCCGTGGGCCCAGCGAGCAGGGCCCGGCTGGGGTGTCTCCAGCTCTGCCAAGGACAATCCTGCGCCCGTGGGCCCAGCGAGCAGGGCCCGGCTGGGGTGTCTCCAGCTCTGCCAAGGACAATCCTGCGCCCGTGGGCCCAGCGAGCAGGGCCCGGCTGGGGTGTCTCCAGCTCTGCCAAGGACAATCCTGCGCCCGTGGGCCCAGCGAGCAGGGCCCGGCTGGGGTGTCTCCAGCTCTGCCAAGGACAATCCTGCGCCCGTGGGCCCAGCGAGCAGGGCCCGGCTGGGGTGTCTCCAGCTCTGCCAAGGACAATCCTGCGCCCGTGGGCCCAGCGAGCAGGGCCCGGCTGGGGTGTCTCCAGCTCTGCCAAGGACAATCCTGCGCCCGTGGGCCCAGCGAGCAGGGCCCGGCTGGGGTGTCTCCAGCTCTGCCAAGGACAATCCTGCGCCCGTGGGCCCAGCGAGCAGGGCCCGGCTGGGGTGTCTCCAGCTCTGCCAAGGACAATCCTGCGCCCGTGGGCCCAGCGAGCAGGGCCCGGCTGGGGTGTCTCCAGCTCTGCCAAGGACAATCCTGCGCCCGTGGGCCCAGCGAGCAGGGCCCGGCTGGGGTGTCTCCAGCTCTGCCAAGGACAATCCTGCGCCCGTGGGCCCAGCGAGCAGGGCCCGGCTGGGGTGTCTCCAGCTCTGCCAAGGACAATCCTGCGCCCGTGGGCCCAGCGAGCAGGGCCCGGCTGGGGTGTCTCCAGCTCTGCCAAGGACAATCCTGCGCCCGTGGGCCCAGCGAGCAGGGCCCGGCTGGGGTGTCTCCAGCTCTGCCAAGGACAATCCTGCGCCCGTGGGCCCAGCGAGCAGGGCCCGGCTGGGGTGTCTCCAGCTCTGCCAAGGACAATCCTGCGCCCGTGGGCCCAGCGAGCAGGGCCCGGCTGGGGTGTCTCCAGCTCTGCCAAGGACAATCCTGCGCCCGTGGGCCCAGCGAGCAGGGCCCGGCTGGGGTGTCTCCAGCTCTGCCAAGGACAATCCTGCGCCCGTGGGCCCAGCGAGCAGGGCCCGGCTGGGGTGTCTCCAGCTCTGCCAAGGACAATCCTGCGCCCGTGGGCCCAGCGAGCAGGGCCCGGCTGGGGTGTCTCCAGCTCTGCCAAGGACAATCCTGCGCCCGTGGGCCCAGCGAGCAGGGCCCGGCTGGGGTGTCTCCAGCTCTGCCAAGGACAATCCTGCGCCCGTGGGCCCAGCGAGCAGGGCCCGGCTGGGGTGTCTCCAGCTCTGCCAAGGACAATCCTGCGCCCGTGGGCCCAGCGAGCAGGGCCCGGCTGGGGTGTCTCCAGCTCTGCTAAGGGCTCAGGCCTCCGGGGCCGCTGCTGCTAGCTGCGT